GATTTCAAGAGACTTGTGGAGGAAAACATCTTGGTAATTGTATATTCGAATGGACATTGTTATAGTGATGGAAATTCTTCTTTCATGCAAACACTAAAGCAGTCCTCCCCTTATATCTTGGTAAAGCTGATTGACAGAGTATAAAATTGCTTTTTAATCCAATTTAGGAAACAATGTATAGTGGGTTTTAGCATTTAAAAATGCTTGAAGCGTGGAAGAAGAAATTCACAATACCCTGGCAGATTATCTGTGATATTGTATATCAATGGCACATTTCAGAAATATTATTTCAATATAAGTTTCTGTGAATTGAGTCATATTTTGTTCCAAGGCTTTTTTGGGTTAGAGTAAGGAGAATGTATTGTAGAAGAAATATGACCCAGAGAAAAATGAACAGAAACCAGTTTATAAGTCACATTTCTCAGGAATAAAAATTTTCTAAGTCTCTTTAACAAAAAGTGCTACGGTTGCTCCCATCAAAGGTACCCATGCAAAGGTCACCTAAGACAATGCCACTCCTGCCGTGATCACCCTCATCAAGTCCATCCTCACAGAGGCCACCCCATCTTTGGCAACTTCTCAAACCTCATCCTATTTCATCTCTTCATAGTGTCTGACTGAACTCTCACTTTTATTTTATTTTTGTTTTTCTGCTTGGAGATTGAACCCAGGGGCTCACTCATGCTGAACATATGCCCTTCTACTTTGCCAAACCCCCAGCCACTGACCACTTCATATCTTGAGGACATTTCAGTTTCATGACATCTTCTCAGTGCCACTCCTGAGCTCTGGGCAATATCCTCCTGCGTCTTTTCCTCTCCTACCCACCTCTTCGTGTTGGTCTTAGAAGGAGCCCTCTCCTCTTGGCTCCCCTCTCCTTGGTGGTCCTGTGGGCTCCCACAGTCCCGCTCCCCACTCTGGCCTAGACACCCATATCTGAGTCTCTCCCTTCTGTCTCTCATGCTACAGTCCTGGACCTTCTGCCTCCAGACCTTCTCTCCAGGGATGTTCTGCAAGCTCTTTGTCCTTGTTACTTCCTGCTGCTAAGCCTCTTTTCCCTCTGGAATCTGTATCCCAGCCAAGGAACTCATGTTATTCTGATTTCCTAAGCTAAAAATTTCACAGTCACCTTGAGTCCAGATTCTCTCACCCACATCAGGTGCTAAGTCCTGGGAAGTCCCTTCCCCTCCCACTTGGTTTTGTCACCTCTCCCCAGAGTGTGACAGGAGCTTTCCAAGGCTTTGCTAATTCCCATCTCTTCCCTGCAGGTGCTCTTACACACAACTCGCTAATTTCTTTCAAAACCACACAGAACATCAACTCATTCCCCAATTGCTGCTGCAGTGTTTCTCCTAAGACCTTTCTGAAGTCCTCCCTGGACACACCCCAGTCTTATTTCTTATCACATTCACATACTCTAATAGCCTTTTAAATTCCTTTGTACAACTTATTCTGTCTTTGAAAGTTTGAAAACTACATAGTAACTCAAGGTAAAGGGCACACTCAGGGAGCAAGTCACAGAAGCCTTTCGACTGTTTTTCTTGTTTCCCTTCCTTGGAGAAGAGTAGAAAGCCTGAGTTCCAAGGCTTTTTGTTACTTGTACCCTGTGCAGCCCAGGGAAATCTACCTAACTTCCCCAAACCTTCACTTTCCCATCTGCATAATGGGAATAATATCAGTTCCTCTCAGAGTCACTGAGGCAATGCTTGGCATATGTTAGTACTTAACCAATGTTGGCAGATGCTATCATGCTATTACTCATGCTCACCAGATTATAGCCACATTATGCCTTTTGAAGTTTTGGGGTCAGTGCTGAGCCTTGCTCTTGCTTAGATGGCTCCTTCCCCCATCTTCGCAGGGTAAAGTCTTGTTCATTTAATTGGATTGACTCGTATCTTTTTTTTTTTTTTTCCTGTGAAGCCTTCTCAGACACAATGCCTTCCATTTGCTTTGTAACTGCTAAAGGTACTCTTCCTCAGGCACTCATCATGTTGAATTTTATTGTTTCCTTGACTACACACACTCTTGTTTTTGCTCTCTTCCTCCTTCTGTACCTCACCAACACTCCCACAAAGATCACGAACCATCAAAGTAGGACTTAACCTGATGCATATTTATGTTCCTGACATAAATTTTGAGTGCTCCCACTTATGTGTCCTTGAGGGCACACCACATGTGCCCGTGTCTGTGCCCTTTAGGTACCCTGTGGGTGCTCCTGGATCCATATACTTGGGGCATGTTGTGCATGCTTGTATGTCTGTGTCCTTGGAGCACACTGTGGCAATCCCATATTTCTGCCCTTGGGCTACAGTGTGCATGTTCTCATAGTGGTGTCCTCAGGGTACACCGAACCACTTGTATCTGTGTCCTTTAGATACATTTTACATACTCCCATGTCTGTGTCCTTGGGTAAGCTGTGGGTGTTCCCCTATTTATACTCTGGGGATACACTAAAGGGACCCCCATATTTCTGTCCTTGGGCCACACCATGGCATTGCAATATCTTTCCTTGGGATATACTTTGGGCACTTTCATATTTTTCAAATCATGAATACATGAGAAAACCAGGAATAAGCAAGTATGTGGTGATATGGCCCCTGAGTAATGCTACAGATCACCAGGTTTAATTTGGTCATTCAGATGCACCTTATGCTTATTTCCATATTGGCCAGTTGACCTCCTGTAGTCAGTTCCCTTCAACTAATCTGTTATTATGGCAAAACTGCTCATGTGTAGAAATAAGACTCAATTATCTTTGGGGCACCTACATGCAAAAAACACAACTCACCTCTACAATAATAATATGAGCATTTCTTTGTTCTCTTTTTCTATTTATGTATGTATGTATGTATGTATGTATGTCAGCAAAAATAGCCACCATTCAGTGAATACATAAATGCATAAGTACAGGTACTTTTTATATTTTTACATATATTATGTAATCTTCAATATCAGAACCAACAAGATGTTTGTTTTTGTTACCACATTTTTACAGAAGAACAAACAGAGGTGCCAAGAAATTAAGTAGCATGTCTAGGGTCTTACAGCTATGTGATAGAGCAGGATTCCAGACAGCAGTTCACAGTAGAATATGGCAGATGTGAGAAGGCTGGGACCTCTGGGACATACACCTCATACTCCATCACAGCATGAGCTGAGTGAGCCACAGTTACTTGTGATATTTTTATTTTATTCCACTTGTGCGTTTTATTAAGCCTTTGGAGTAGGCAAACATTGAAGTTGAGAATATATAGCCTGTCTTCCAAATGGCACTAGTTTTGTTCTCTGAACTCTTTACTGATGTTTTTAAAAATGTGTTTTTTGGATTTAGAATCTTTTGTTAAAGCAAGTTGTTGACAAGTGCAAAAAATTACTATGTCTGGTTATCTTTTTTGTTGGTTGTATGGTTTAATTATTGTGTTTTTGATGCAAGTCTAGAAAATAGGTTTGTATCATAAAAATACATACACACCTATATACATGTACACATGGAGGAAAAATAGTAGTGCTTGTTATAGAAAACTTAGGAAGCACAGAAAGAACACAAAATAAATTAATCTCCCTTAAAATTGAATATTTAGCCACCATTAACTTTTGATCTGTGGCCTTCCAATACACATTTTTATTGTCAAAAATAATAACCTGCTATATTTTTTATAGTACACTTGATTTTTTTCCTTTAGCAGTGTATAATGAACATTCTCCATGTTAACAAATATTTTTCCACAACTGGGTTTTGTGAGTAACTTGATAGCCATCATCTAAATGTGCTGTAATTTAATTATCCTGATCTTCCACATTTTGTTTGCTGTATTATTGCTGATGATTTTCACATGACTTGTGCTGTTATTGGCATTGGAAATCATAAATTAATTCCTGGACATTAATATCTCTGAGAAGAATAATTTTGGAATCATTTTCACTCAAACTATTTTACAATTTTGAGACCTTAACAAAAGACACCTTAACTGTCACCTGGGGTAGGCTCTGATGGGCCACATCTCTTCTACAGCTTTCCTCACAGTGAGCAGTCGCTGTTCCAAATGTAAGACCATAGCCTCTGCTCTTCAGTGTATATCCTGCTTTATATGCTCTTGTATTAGGCATAAGGAACTAGATTCTGACACAAATAGATTTTGAAAAGTTGCTTCCGAAATCTTTAGAAGCACTGTACTTCAGTCAGCGTGATTGAGAATTTGGGAAGGAAGTTGGAGGCAGGCTGCCGGCAGGATAGTGCAGAATGCCACTTAGCTAGTAGAAGCCAAGTCGTGAATGCAGACAGGCAAAGCGTGTTCTCTGATTTGTGTGCTACAGTTATTCTAATTGATTTCTGCATACTTGTGGATAGGGATCTGCCCTCTTCCATTTATTTTTCTCTTGACAAGTAGGATGTGAAATGTTGTTCCATGCCTTTCTAATTTAAATGTTGCACATGTTGAGAACTGATCTTGCCAGCCATTTTAAGCTTGGCCAAAAACATAACACATTGTTGTTATTAGCCTTCATCCTTTGGTTAGGGCCAACATTCTGTTTGGAACTCTAAAGGAGTATAAATCTCCTTTATAGGCATAACCTATTTCAGCCATAAAATAGATACAATGAGACAGCAGAGCTAAGTTTCCTTGGTGAGTTGCTTTGGTCAGCCTCCGTGGGCTGGCACGGTCAGGGATGCTCATTTTCAGAGTATTCTTAGGAAGCAAGATTTCAATTTAATTTGCCTTTTATATGAATATACTCCCCAATGTGCAAGGTACTTTAGGAAGTGCAGTAGGAGAAACTAAGATGAAGATGACAAGGTTCATGTTCTTTATCCAGCCAAGAAAAAGACTTGGAGGACGTAATATAAGGCAGTGTATAAAAGCATGTTTATCAAAGATCAGAGAGAGCTTAGAGAAGCAAAACATTACCTCACAGCTTGCGTTCAGGTTATGGACAATGTCCTTGAAGCCATCTGCAGCCCACTCTGCCTGCCGGCTGAGAGAGCCCTCTGTCTCGTGCACCACTATTTTTCAAATGTCTGTAGAGGCTCTGGTGCTCAGCAATGCTTTTAAATGGATTTTTGTTTTGTTACCCTTATTGTAGCTATTGTCATACTGTGTGTTTTTCAACTAGTAGATGCTACACTCAAAGTCCCATCATGGGAATCTGTACACTTTTTTCATGTTAAAAATAGGTTCAGTTATTTGAAGATTGGGAACCAATGTCTACAGGAGTGCTATCCAAAAGAACTTTACATAATAGGGGAAATGATCCCTATTGTCCAATACAGTGGTCATTTACCAACTGCAGCCCATGAAGACATGAAGAATGGTTAGTGAGATGGAAGACTGAATTTTAAAAGTTTTGTGTGATTTTAGTTTAAGTGGCCACACATGATAGATAGAAACTACCATATAGAACAGAGACAGTGCAGATCTAGAGTCTCCCTGCATCAGTAATTTTCTGAACCCTGTCTCCACAAAGTTTTCCCTGTTCTACCTCCTCTTAGTTTGTTTGCAACCCACAGATGTGTTTGAATACCAGGCCCATTTTCAAGTTGCCTCTGTTTCTCAAAGTTCTTTAGACCAAGAGAAAAAATACCTAATGAAACAATTTTGAAACTTTCCTTATCATAGCAATAAAAGGCATTCTACTTTCCCCTTTTCTGTCAATCTCATCTGATTCTCAGGGGCCTTGAAGAGATTTCAGTACATTTGGGACACTTGAGCTAATTGTTTTCATATTTGGTTTGTTTCAAAATTCATACAGCATAATCCTTATTTTAAAGGTTGTTTATTTGATAGGCAGGGTAGCTATAGATAATTAAAATATTAGAAACAGATCTAAATGTTATTTGGGGCTCTAATTAGACAAGAAATTTTCCTTCTCATGTGTTTTTCTGTTATTAAGGGTAACCAAGTGATCTTCATTCTCTAACTTACTCAAAACAGTTAATACAATTTATAGTACTTTCAAGTTATATATCTTTCTCATGACTCATAGCCTTGAACTCTTTTAAGACCATCATTGACAGTAGCAATATAGATTATAATGGCTTCTTTTAAGGCAACAAAATCACAAGAAGATGGCCAGGTATCTCTGAGCATAAACTTTACCATTTATATTTATATTGTAATTGATATTCATTGTAAATACAGTTCTAGTTTGATTGCTGCTAGGTAACTCTCTTACGATTACATTTCCCAAAAGATTTTTGTCCTGTACTATTTTAAAACAAGATACAGAAAGAAAGCAATGGTTTGTCAAAAAAGGAAAATGACCCAAAGGTTTTGGAACACATACTATGAGGAGTTGTCATCAAAATGATAAATTCCTCTCATGGACCATCCTGGAAAGCAGTCACTGTAGTGAAGTCTTTCTGTCTAGGAGGATTTTCTATCCCAGCTACCCACTAGGGGTGACAGCCATATTACTGTTCTCTTGATTCTTTCTGGGTAACTTTCTCCTACTTTCCTCATCTTTCTTCTTTGAGGCCAGAGGCTTAGAGGTTTCTCGTAATATCAGATCAAGATTTTAAATGTTTCCATTGCTGGCCAAGAAGTCCAAATATGTCCTCGCAGCTCCTGCTGGCCTATACAGTCTCTACATGTGCCAACAGGAGAGGAAGCTTAAAGGCAACTGGGTGATGCCCGAAGGGTGTAAATCCCCAGCTAGTTGACAACAAAATGCTGATAGTAGAATCATAATCCCCATTCCACATATCAAGACTCTTCTACACTTCTACTCTATCCTTCTTTTATAAATTTCTATTGACAAAAAAAGAAAGAAAGAAAGAAAGAAAGAAAGAAAGAAAGAAAGAAAGAAAGAAAGAAAAGAAAAAAATCCAGACAATTGATTCTGACATTAAAAAATTCAAATATCTTTTGTGGCATTTCCTTTAGTTGAATTTGTCTCATGTTAATTAAGCAGATTCCGCTGTGGTCTGCTGATCTCCTTTTTAAAGCCTAGTGGTGGTTGTCTGAGGTGGTCATAGATTCATGCCATGATGTTTTGGGGCTGGATCAGGGAAAGAAAATACAAAAGAATGCAGCACCAGGAGGATGCCAGCCAGATGAGTAGTTTACATTTGCAAATACAAAATATCCTAAATTTGCTTCCTTTTCAATGCTAGAATAAATACAAAAGAATAAAAATGGCAATTCAGTCTTCTCTCAGCCCCCAGGAAGAATACCAGTTCATACCCATTCTTTCCCTACCTTCTCACCTCCTTGGTAGAAAATAGGAATGAAGAAGTATAAGCTGAGACCCCTCCAGTCTTTAGGAGAGGATCTAAAAGAACATCACAGTCTAGGGTCTACTGCACCTTTCCCTCGGGCCGCCACCCTTCCTCTCTCCTGTATCTCAGCAGGTATGGATGGCTGTTTTCAAAGAACAGAGTCCTTCTCTTTGGCATATCTGTACAGAAAATAAAAAATAAAAAAATAATGGGCAGTATTAGTCAATCCCAATCTCTAGAGCTGTTGATGAGTCATACAACTCCATGACCTTCATGTGTCCATTTTATATATTTTCATTCTGGTTACAAAATTATACCAAATTATTGTGTCTTCTACATTTTCCTTTATGCTGTTTGAGTCTGTATTTATTTCTTTGATTAGAGTATCTTAGCCTGAAAGCCTCTGATCTTCACTGTAGGAAACTAGTACAAGGCTAATCATCTGTCAGCAAACCTTGAATTGCTGGATGTTTTAGTAATTGCCTTCAAATGTAGTAATGAGATTGCAGGTTTGATGAAATGCTTATAAATGGTGGCTTTGGGGAAATCAACCTATTTCAATATTGAATTCCAAATTACTATGTATTAACACATCTGTCTCCTGACTTTTTTATTTCAGTACCTACTAGAAATGAAAAGTTTAATCCTGCCCCCAGAACATATCCTGAAGAGAGGAGACAGTGAAGCAATAGCATATGCATTCTTTCATCTCGCCCACTGGAAGAGGGTGGAAGGGGCTTTGAATCTTTTGCATTGTACGTGGGAAGGCAGTAAGTAATTTCTTTCTTTGAAACATTTTTTAAGAACATGAAAAAGTGCTAAAACTGTTTTTGCCCCAAGTGTTCCTAATGAATAATGAGGATTTGCATGTCTTGCTCTGTTTTCTATGAAGGCCCATCACTAAGACAGTTAATTACTTAGGTGCTCCAGTTCTCTAGTAGTGGTGGGTATGTGTCATCAAACAATGACATAACTCTTCAGACTTGGAAAGGCAAATTTATACAATAGATTGAATAGATCTGGACTGTTCTGGAGAACCAGTCTACTATCCTAAAAACTTTCTTAGGAGACTTGGACATTTCCTTAACATCATAAAATCTTTAGCATGGAATTAGGCCTTGTGCTAGACTCTGATTACCATTTCTTGATGGTTTTTCTAGGAGAGGTGGATAAAAGCCACAGTAGTTCTACACTGTAGCTAGGCTGGCCATCTGCAAGGGCAAGGCAGGTATGTTTTGGAACAAGAGCAGAGGCTGCTGGACTCTGGTGTGTGGTGGGAAGTGTTGCATTGTTATAATAAATATATTCCTGGTATGTTGGTGGGGGAATAAATATGTCTGAGTACAAGCTCCCTACAGATATTATCATTCTGTGTAAGGAGAGGAGGCTCTGTTGGCAGGTTAAACAGTCTCTTTGTCCTGGAGAAGTGTGTAGTTGAGTTGGGAGGAATGACCAGCAGCAGGTGGCAGCTGCCTGGTGATTTCTCCAGGGTGGAGCAGCCATGGGTAACCTTATGAATCAGATGATATTTGGACTGAGCCTTGATGGACCAGGACAGTAATGTAAGCAAGGACACAAAGTGAAGAAATGGTCATAAATGGGGCTGTTTGGGAGAATGTAAATTTAGGAAAAGCCCTAAGATTATTAGACAACATGTACATTAAAATTCTGCTAATATCAATTTAAGCAAAACAAGTACAACATGTACCATGATTTTTTTTCTCTCATAGGAAAACAAAATGATAAATATTAGAATCTTTTGATAATTTTTCCCTAGTTCACCCCTGCTCTGATCTGCCTCACAAACAAGTGTCTTTTTAATCTTTTTCAGTCTGTTTATCTTTTCTGCTTCCATTTTCATTTTGATAATCTTCTTCCTTTTCCTGCCCTTCCATAGCCCAGCTAGAATCCATCTTGATGTAGGAAGGGAGGTAGCAGGGAGAAAAATGGGATTGAGTAAAAATAAGTTTTGGAGAGATGGGACTCAAAGCAGATTGAAAGTTTTTTATTTAGTGGTTTTGACATATTTCTTTAGAGAATTAATAGTGGGTTCACTTATGTATTTTACTATTTATAACCTGATGGATGTTGAGTTTACCAATGTTGCCACCCCTACTTGGTAAGTGTAATAACATACTCAGGTAATCTTGTCAGCACCAGTAATCATATTTGGATATGTACAACAGCACACTCCACCAAAAGTGTGTGGGTACATGCACAATCCCCTCTGGCTTGGGCTCCTTGCTGCACTTAAGGTGTTCTAACCAAAGAGGACAAAAGAATTTTTTTATCAAAACATGAGAAAGCTCCTGAAAAGCTCAGCAGTTTTGAATACAAGAAGGCTTATCTAGTGTTAGTTGTGGAAAAGATAAATAGAGAAATTGGTCTACCAAATAAGAACATATTTAGAGATTGGCATTTGATCTGATTGATTAGATTTAACCCTGTAAAAAGAGCCCAAAGAGGGGTGAGGCAAGGTGTGATAAAGATATGGTATTAGGAATGATATCATCATAAAAAATTAAAGTCCTATGGGGAATAACTGAAAATTCTCTTTGTAAATTAGTAACCCAATAATGATGGGGAGGTGCTCTGGATCAACTGGGAATGATAGTGACACTGAGGGAAATGTGAATAGACATAGGGATCTGCAAAATCAAGCAGAGGAATACTATCAGGGAGGTGTGATTGCCTCAATTTAGACTGGCAGAATGCTTTATTAGGATAAAAAGAGGGGGGCGAACTTGTAGGCATAAGCTGTATGTCAAGAAAACCATACCTATAGGAAAAGGAAATTTGACCTTTGATCTTTATCAATAAAAAGTTCCTGTGAAAATCAGGTAGCTGTGATCCCACCCAAAATCAGTTAACTGCCAGTTTTCAAAGATTTCCAGGACATCTGACTTCAGAATGAGAACCATGAGAATGCCTACCATGTGCTAAATGCTTCAGAGGATGTACACTGAAGCAGCATTTGTATAACTGGGTGATTTATAGAGGATTTGCATTTGCATCATTTCACCTACCCTTCCTGATAGTCTTCTAAGTTAGGCAGGACAGAAATGTCAACCTCAGTTTCTCAGAAGCAGAAGAATCATTGAGATGAGTGATTTGAGGCTGGGGATATAGCTCAGTTGGTAGAGTGCTTGCCTCCCATGCACAAGGCCCTGAGTTCAATCCCCAGCATCACCAAAAAAAAAGTCACTTGTTGAAGGTCTTGAAGTCCTGTTGGTAGGGCCAGTAGGTAAACCCAGGTTCACTTTTCCTTCATTGCATTGAATAGGTTAAGGATACAAAGATCAGCCAATTCTGAGATAGTTGCTAGAAAGCCCACAATTTAAATTTACATCACTACTTACAGTCTAGGGCATATTTCTGACAGCTGGTTCCCTTCTAGTGTTTAGAAAGTTAACCATTCTGTATAAAATTATATTTTCTTGTTTGATATTAAGTTAAACATTTCAATATAGAATGAGACAAAATTTTATAAAATAAATAATACATATGTATAAACAAAGGAAAGAGACTGGAAATAAATACACTTAACTGTCTTAAGTGGTTACTACTGAGTTGTGGATAAGATTTTTTTTTTCCTTAATATTTGTACCTTTCAAATTGCCTACAACAAGCATATGTATTTTCAACAAGCATATATATATATAATATATACACACACATATATGCTTAGAAATATAATTTTTATAGTTTTAGAAATATAATCTTTCATTACAAGTGCTCTTGGTTACTATGAAAAAAAAAAAGCTATAGGTCTGCCATGCAATTTTTTTGTAGTCAGTAATTTTTTTTAAGTCTTAACACAGTAATTGTATAAATCAATATACCTCATTGTGGCATTTTTGCCATGCAGTTTAGAAGAAAGAATTACCACTCAAGCTCCAGACAATTGTCTGCAATCTCTTGACCTCACTTCTAGATCTGTGTTCATTCTGAATTACATTAGAGGTTCAGAGTTCTGTATTTTAAATTAGAGGACTTGGATTAGAATTCTGACTCAGTTGCTTTAGTAGTATTTACTTAACTTACCTAATTTTGGGAAACCATAAAGCACTGATGACATTTAATGCCTATCCCACTCCAGTTTGGTGGCTTCAAAGTAGTTGCCCCAGCTCCCTCTCAGGAGGTCTGCAGGCCTGGCCTGCATCCTGAGCCTGAGCCCAAGAGGCGCACTTCTCCCAGCGCACCACTTGGTGGTGCCTCTTGACATCTCAGCCTCATCAGCTAGGTTTTGTCCTCTGAATCATATTTTTCTTCATTCTGAAATTCAAAGCCATTCCTCAACTCTCACCCAACTTCCATTTTTCATTAGAAAGAGAATATAGGGAGAAGGATAATATTGCCCAATTTCAGCAGATTCAACATTAAAAAATCATTATTAGATTATTCTTTGGAAATTTTTAAAAAGTCAGTCCGTTAAAAGTGTTGGTTAAGAGGTAGTGGTGGGGTTTTTTGTTGTTTTGTTTCTTGCTTGTTAATGAATTTATTATGTTAGAGCATTAGTCATCCTGTGTAATTAAGTGAGTTTTCCATCAATCAAGCTAAAAAACTCCTATTTTTGATAAAACCCCAAAGTCTTGCTAATGTATAACAGAGATTGTTTGGGTTTGAAACATATGGTAATTAAAGAAAAAAAATCCTGAATCCTCAATCACAAATACATCAGCATTTCAAAGGTTTCCAAAATGTTTGATTCATCACTGTACCAGCCCCTGAAATTACACAATATGTTCCTCAAAGTCAAGATAATTAAGAAAGGGGAAAGTTTTAATTTATAAGATTTTATAAAATGTTTCTTGGATTATTACACAGCTGCCACCTTATCTGAATTATGCTTATTTTAAACACTGCAGGTTCTGGTTATCCTCAAACACACGCACCCCTGCCAGTATGAGCTGAATATAAAAAACATATATGAATGAAGGGTCTCATTTCAACTCAGTTTATTTACAATGGTATTGCTCCTTATGGGGTCCTGTTTTAAATGGCACATCTTCTGCTTCACCTGTATTAAATACTGATGTGCTCTTATCTCCCTCCTACTGTCATCTTTTCAAGGCTCTATTTTGACTCTATTTATTTTATAAAGCCAGGTCATCTCCTGACCACAACTGTGAACTTTAATTTTCTCATTCTATATATCAGAAGACTAGTATGCCATGGGGTAAATCACTTAGCCTTTGTTTCTTTCTTTTTTTCACTTAACCAATTATTTTCTTTTTGAAGTCCCCCCACCAAGAATCCACTAAATATCCACTAAATAATGTATAAGATTTGAAGATGGTGTTTTTTAGGGGGACTAAGGCAGGGTATTTCCTTTGAGAGGGGAAAATGGCCCATTGTTGAAGATGATTTTGTGATGAGATTGTGATTCTAATTTATTCTCTTTGAACCTAATGGCAAATACCCCTCACTGTAACATGTGGTTCTTAAGCATTTCCTCCAAGCAAACCTTTCCTCCATAAGGCTGGCACCTTTTGGACTACTAAAGAGAGGACCCACTCTGCCCCCCAGTAGATTCAAGAGGAGCATAATAGATCCATTGTACACTTTATAATTTGGGAGGAAGAATGAATGGTCACGGCTAGCTTACCCTGAGCCAGTTCCCCACCCACTGCCCAGCACAACCAGCTTGCTCCTTCCCTTTTGTCAGTGTGATGGTTAATCTGAATTGTCAACTTGATTGGATAAGAGATATTGACAATAAGAGGTTTCTGGTTGTCTCAGTAAGCATGACAGCCTCCAAAACTGAATGTATTCAGATACCTGAGTTGTTTATTTGTTTTTTTATTTTTCTTAAGAGATAGGATCTCCCTGTTGCCTAGGCTGACCCTCAACTTCTGGGCTCAAGCAATCCTCATGCCTTAGTCTCCCCAGTAGGTGGAACTGCAGGCAGGTGAATGCTTCTGTGCCTGGCTTTACCTGAACTTTTAAAGAGACTTTGGTATTTTCCTGATTGTATATTAATTTATTCATTCCTTATTGAGCAAATATTTATTTCATTTATGTGTCAGGCATTGTGTTTGGGGATAGGAAGACAACAAAGACTCTGAAATGCTTTGTGAGAAACACTAACATGTGTACACACACGCATGTGCATGTGCATACAAACAAGTGTGTGTGTGTGTGTGTGTGTGTGTATGGGGGGAGAGAGAGAGTGAGATAGTGTGGATACATGCAGTACTAACATGAAAGTAGGAACAGAGGGTTAAAGAGCTGAGGGGTACTAACAAGATTAGCAAGTCCACTATCAAACCATAGAATTTTTCTTCAAAATTAGGATGGAGCACCATTAAATCCAACTAAGGAAAAATTCTTTTCCCAAGGCTGTTTTCTTCCACTTTTTAAGTGAAAGACTGTGGATCACAAATCAGGCTTTTGACTTTTGACTTTTCCTCACTTCTGCACCAAAATGCCTCATGAAAACAGTTGGCCTTCATGGTTGTTATTTGCATTGCAGTCAAAAGCAGAACATCAATGATGATAATTTTCTCTTCTACCATTTGTACATATAATTGTCAACAAACAAGCAGAATCTTTATTTATTAACAAGTGTGACTGAACACAGAAAACAGAAACTTTATGTTTAGTAGAGAAGGGAAGGTAAAGAGAAGCCTCATCTTTGCTGCACATCCAGGCACTGTGTATAGCCACCTCGTCTCTGCTGTTGTCCTCAGTTCATTTGCCAGACTTGTGAGGACTGTGGTGTTTTCATTTTACAGCTGAAGAGACAGACAGGAAACAATTAATGACCCACCTAGAGCCATGCACTTTTTGGTGGAGTCAGGTCCTGTTCCTGTAGATGTCACTCTGTTGCTCCCATGTAGACACGCGCCACACAGCCTGTCCCTCTTCAGGGCCCTCAGCACAATGGGAACTGTAGCATTTACTTGGAAGTTTATTGGAACAAGTTCCCGCACTCAGGCGTGAACTCTGTGAGTGCAGGGACAGGGTGTTCTTGGCTCTCTGTGTGTAGTTACATAAGAAGGCACTCACATTTTGATAAGTGACCAATTATAAGAGGTAGAACTGGGACTCAAACTCAGTTTTCTCTATTCCAAATAATCTGTATAAAATTCTCTAAGATCCTCTTTGACAAGGTAACATATACAAACGTTCAAAAATTTACCTTATATTCCCATCCACATGATGGGTAGGGTGAGAGGTCATTAATTTGTTCACATATCCATCCATCTGTCGGTTCTTTGGTTCTATTGATTCCCTCACTGGTATTGGTAGACAACCTCTGATTGGGACAGCACTGAAAAGCTTGGAGCCTAGAAAATGTATTTAGTCAAGGATGGAAGAAAGCAGTGTCATGCCTCAGACTTGATTGTGGAGGACAGTACGTGTTCATTAACTAAATCTCAGCTTCATTTGAACCCTTTAACTGAGATCAACATAGGAGGAGAGGATGGCACACAAAGGAAAATGCAGAAGTGACATCCATATGCCCTGTATCAACTTGGAACAGCCTTGATGTTTTTGTTTTGTTTTAAACCAAATACATGCGTATTTGTAGTTTCTCTGAAGTGTGGCTTTTCTCAAAGATTTTTAGGAGGTCTGAAGTCATTTATAGAACAGATCTGTTCAAATGACCTTTTGTCATTCTTATTTACACCACCAAATCAGTGTGTTCTTAATTCCTGCACTTGCAAAGTTTCTACACTTTTGGCTAAAGCCACGAGGCTCTCATGGAACCGTTGCATGTCTTTACTGTGAAAAGGACCAGGCAGTGGGAGGTGAGGCTGGCAGAGCTTTTGCAGTGCCTCTTCCTGGCTCTCTCCAGACCTCCCTTGCTTATCTCACACTTTGTTGGACCCTGCACAGCAGGGTGGGTAAAGGATAGAATTGCAAGCACAAATTGTATTTGCTTTTGTTTAGTGAAGCCAAAAGCCTTAATATTATTTTATGAAATCAATGTAAATGACAACTGACATAAGAAAGAGATCTTAAGAGCACCATAAACATCTTTATGATCATGGGAGTAGAAGCGTAATGCAGGCCATGTAGATGGATGGATGGATGGATGGATGGATGGATGGATGGATATTCATTATTCTTTGAATTATATATATGATCAATACCTCCACTCTCCAAAAAAGATGAGAACCAATTAGAAGAAGATAAAGACTAAATCAATGCACAAAATTCTGTATGCACACCAAGTACTGGAGAAAAAAAGTCATTTAGCATTTGGCTGAAAGACACCAGCCAACCATTAGATTTCTATGGTTGAACACTCTTAAGATCTTGTGCTCCTATATTTCATTTAAAAAATTGTTCCCTGAAGTACAAACTGACTTCAATTTTGAATAAAATTTAACATTCAAATTTATAGCCACTTTGCAAACTAAGGGTTTATTTATATCATATGAACCTGAAAAGATTCTTTAATTATAGCAGCCTGGTTACACATGGAGAATCTGGATTTTAAAAAACTTCCTTGTAGGTTTTTCCACATTTTTTGGATGCTTTCAGAGAAGCCATCATTTATGGGAAATTGTATTAAGATCCTGCTGTACTATAGTTTAAATGTAAAAGCTGTGCTTCCCAGAAGAGATTTTTAGCTTACGCTATAAAAGTCACTAAAAGGTTTTTTGGTTTTTTGGGTTTTGTTTTGGTTTGTTTTCATCTTCTTGAAAGCCTGGTTCTATTGAGAGAGATGCCAGTTCCTTCAAATGATCATTCTATATTAACAACCTGTGCAAGGAACCTCTTCTCTTGCTTGTTCTAATGGGCAAAAGTCATCTTTGTTTGTGTGAAAGGAAAGTTCTGATTGAACGAGGCTGAGCCCTTCATTTTAAGAAGAGTTAAAGTCTGGGGTGTTTTTAATGTTTTAATCTCTGTTTAAGAGGTTTCTGTTATGAGAGGAAAATTGATAACATTTTTACCTCAGCAAACTGCCAGCAAACTGGCTCAGCTCTAATCCCACATTTATAGTGATTTATATTCTCCGTGGCAATGTTCTGTAACCTCACAGTGATACCACTGTGGTGTAGATTGACTGCATTCCAAATGCTGGAATCACATACATAATGTTTTTACTTTTAAATAATATTCAGACACCAGAATAAATACCATATGTGCACTGATGCTGGTTACAATGGGACCTTGTCATTTCTTGTGAGGGAGAACATTCTTTGTTTCTGATTCCTGTTTGAAATAAGTATGCAAAAGATAAATATGTACATTGACAGCATTTTAAGAAGGCTTTCGTAATTACACAGCTGAGGATGTAGCTACAACTACAATTCCTTAAAATGTGGCATTTGAAACAAAAAATATTGCTATATTGCCACCATTCCTCTCTGACACACATGAAGGCCAGGATTGTTATCTGACATCCTGAGAGTAGGGTACAGCTTTTATGTTATACATCTACCATGTGCTGGAGTTAAAGGACATCTGTTAAAGAAAAAATACCTCCATGTTCATAGGAACAGTGAGACTAACATGCTGATGACATTGTAACAGGGAGAATAACACACTCGATAATGGGAAAGGATAGATTGATTGGAAAGCCATAATTCAGTGTGAGGCCTAATGTCATCTGATGCCACAAAAGCAGAATTTAGGTGGCCTGACTTCATCAAAATACAGATAATCAATCTCTCCAGATACATTTTTCCCCACATGATATTGAAGATTTAAAAGTTTCATAAAGTTTAGAAATACTTCCCAAGTCATGTATTTTTAGATTTTTGTTTTTATCCCTCTTGGTTGGAATTCTAATCCACTTAGACATATTTTTTAAATAGACATGGTAGAATGCCTTTCATACTTGTACATCTGTAACAAGCTCCAACAAGTCAATCTACATTTGCTTCTAGGGGAAGCATTTCAATCCAGGTTTGCATTATTACCATTGGCTGAGCTATATTGAATTAGTGCTTATAAACATTTTTATAATATTTTAAAGATGATGTGACCCTAGGCATTGATATTGATGGCTTCCCTACCCCCACTGCACCTCTCTCCCCACCCTGTTCTGTGATGTTTGCCCAGAATATATAGTGTAAGATTAATGTGTGAGTAATACATCATAGTGTATCTCTGACATTTTATCTGGCACATGACTCAGAGTTTGGTAAGTCTTGCCTTCCCTGTAGGAGTGTTCCCATTTTAAAAATGCTCAAAAGTCCTTTTTGAAGCTGGGAAGTTATGAGACAAACATTAAACTAACATATTGTCTCTTCTTTTCAGCTTTTCGGATGATCCCTTATCCCTTGGAGAAGGGGCACCTATTCTATCCATACCCAATCTGCACAGAAACAGCAGACCGGGAGCTGCTACCCTGTAAGTTTCACCTCTTTGTAATCCTCTCTTCAGCCAGGGAAGGTGGTGTGACCAAAGGTGGGGATGGGAAGAAGTGGGAATGATAAATGTTTATAATGTTCTTTGTTTTTTATTACTTTTCTCCCAACCCTTGGCCTTGTTCGATAGCATATATATTAAAGTGAATTATGTGAGTGGGTTGGACTTCCTGCCTCTCAAAGTCTCTCCACAGTCATCAAAGGGATAGACGCCAAAGTACTGAAATGTAGAAGAGAAGGCATCATGTGCAGATTGGTCTGAGCACAGAGAACTCCTGGGTGGGACCAAGACCCACTGTGCTGGTCCATCATGGCACAGGTCAGAGTGGTCTGCGCAGGCTAGAGATGGAAGAGGAAGGGATGACTTCAGAAGGAGCTGCAGATGAGCTGTGGATGGGAGGGCAGCCCTTGGATGCTGGCACTACCACCAGAGGCGGAGTTGGGTGGCAGGGCGGTGTGCTTTCCGAGATGATGCAATGCTCTTGGCCAGAGGGATTTCCCGCGAGCACCTCGTGGATTGCATGGAATGAATTGGCTAACATGTGCAGGGCACACGTGCAGCCTCAACACTGTATGAAAGCACACAAGGAAAACCCTGCCCTCGAGTGCCTTACAAGCCAGCAGGCTAATGACCCACACCACATGTGGAAAGTATTATTTTGGTTTACTGTAATACAGCATTGTTTTGACAATCCAAGCTAAATAGTTATTATCAAATCATACTGTGTACAAAGATCATGTCCAGGCTCTTTATGTGGCCCTGACTTAGGACATATTTTTCCCCCTCGGATAATAATCTCCAAATTTTGGCTCTTCTCTCTTCTCTGTCCTTTCTGCTGCCACCTTCTCTCTTGTACCAATCCTGGTTATGCCAGTATATTATAATTATGACACAAATAGACACTTGCCCAGAGGAATGGTGTAGCTGTGGAGCTCTGGTGTGCAGTCAGTTTTCAAATGCCAGCTATGTATCTCCTACATGGTGGTTGCTACAAGAATGAAGTGGCAGGAGGGCCCCACATGTTTCCTCGCCAGCCAGATCCAATGTGAGATTTGTTCCTTAGGGAATTTGGAGATGTTAGTGATGTGTTTCTCATTGTCCAAGTTTTATTGTAAGAAGTGTCTGGTGCTTCACCCAACATTAGATTTGATTTCAGAAATCCCCTGCTGTGGGCCCACAGTTTACCTTTTGACTCCCCTCTTTAGGGAGATCCTTGTTAAAGTTTACATTTTCTGCTAAAAAAGATGGTTTTCTGAAAAGTACAATGTTTTTTAATGTTTTAATTGAGCCCAATTAAGTTTCCATGGGGATGGATTAGCTATTAGAATAAGATTATAGTTCTTAAAAGAAACTTTATAGGGATGGTCTTTATAAGCCTTAAATAGAAAATTATGGCTCACATTTATTAAATTGAATGCCATAGTTCAAGTCTGGTCTCCCTCCAAAATCTTCTTTGGGCTGAATTTTGAGGATGAGGATAGGAAGAGGGCTGTTTATTTTAAATGATACCCATGTTTTGCACATTATAAGTAAAATATTGCCACATTAGGCCCTAAGTGCACCTCTACCCTATATTTGAATCCCAGCAGATTGACCCACCTAGATGCAGGTAGGCATGCTTGTCTGTGCTTTGTCCCTCCCTGATCCTCTCTACCCTCAGTTTTTAGCAGTGTGGCTGAGGACTCTGAGTAGCAACTGCCTAATGGTCAAGGAATGGCCTTTAGATCTCTATATCCCTGGGAATGGACCACTTGGAACCTTTTGGTTAGAGGGCAGTGTTGTTCACCTGCAGTTCCCCAGCCCCCTCCACCAGGGTCCCTGGCAGCTGGTTCTTCCTCCTCCGTGCAGATAGCCCATACCTCCCCTGGTCAGCACTGCACCATGCAGACAGTCACAGGCCGTCACATAATGAGTAGAAAGAGGGAGTCGGTTCTCTTGGCTTTTGTACAACTGTTTGGTTTTCCTCAAACATAGTGTTTGAAGTTTAAAAGTTATGAAGATACTCTAAAGAACACCAGTTTTGCTTTTTTTTTTTTTTCTTTTTCCGGTGATTGTTCTAAGTATATTAATCAGGAGTCTTCTATGGTTGTGTCAGATAACCCTAGCAACCTTGACTCTCACCCCTTGCAGGTTGAACAGGCCAGTGTGTGAGGTCCTTGCTAAGTGTCTATCAGGGCAGCACTCTCCACTGACATACTTAGAGTGTGCCAGGAAAAGTACAAGATAAACTAACATTGCCTCATTATAATAACTTTAAAAATACAAGTTGAAAATGTAGACAGGGTATTTTTCAGTATGCTAACTTTGGACTTTCTAAGGCTTTGTACAATGTATATATGTTTGATAATTAAGATAAAGTTTTGTCATTTCATTTGTGTTCACTTTTGAGAAAGGAATATTTTATAGTAGACATAGTTAGTGCTGCTTTTTTTTTTGTCCATGAGTGTTTTATCCCCAAATTAACCTTGTCGTACCTCCAGCTGGAGCAGCAAAAGGCTGGGTCCTTTGTGACCTGTGGTTGTCAGGTGTCCTATCTGTTCCATTTCCCATGGGTTTCAGCCAGAGCTCTGAATAGTCAGTCCACCGGGTAGGAACTCCCCAAAGATGCTCTTTACTCCAGCCCTAATATTCCCTCTGGTCTTCTCCACAGCTTTCCATGAAGTCTCAGTTTACCCGAAGAAGGAGCTTCCCTTCTTTATTCTCTTCACTGCTGGATTGTGCTCCTTTACAGCCATGCTGGCCCTCCTGACACACCAGTTCCCAGAACTCATGGGGGTCTTTGCAAAAGCTGTGAGTGTTTGCCTAAAGGGAAGCCTCAGGGAATGGACAGGGAAATCTGAGGGAGGTAGTAGAAGAGGAATGGGGGATTGTCACACAGAAATGTTTACCAACTGCCGAGATCACTATTTAATTTCATTATCACCAGTGGAACCAAAGGGTTAAGGGTCAGAGGGAAGTACAGGTAACTGTTGATTCATGCCTTGCTTTCTTCCACAAAATAGATTTCCAAATAATACATAAGCACAAAAACATGAAATAATTTAGGAAATCCTATTAAATGAGAAGTGGGTGGGGTCGTTACTTAGTTTTGTGTATGTTAAATGGCACTAGTTCTAATCTTGGATACTGTGCCTCTACCCTTGTGAAGGATGAGATTTACATTTACAAAGATTATTTAAATGTATTTTTTAAATGTCTGCAGACCTTTGACTTGTTTGGGAATGAACCATGAGAGGGTGTGGAAGCATACAGTATTAAAATGCTGACAGGACATTGAGAAATAGGGAAATCCAGTGAAAATCTTGAAGGAGGACTATGGAGTAGAGCTTTAATAAGAAAAGCTTCCTGCACTGACAGCCACTTTTTCCTTGTTGAAAACTGATGATTGCATCCTGCTCATGCATGAGGGTAAGGTTCCTGATTGTGCCACAGATGGTTTTCAAACAGAGGGAATAGGAAAAGAGTGTCAGTTATTTCCCTGGAACTCCGTTCAGATTTCAAGGCGAGTGGAATCAGGACTATCTCTAACTGGGCTAGGTTGATTTAATCCCTTTCCAGATGATTGACATTTTCTGCTCAACAGAGTTCAGGGACTGGATTTGCAGGAGTATTTGCATGAGTGTTGAAGATGAACTGGAAATCCCACTGGCACCTAACTGTCACAATTTCCAAATCTGAACTTATCACCCTGCCCGGCCATCAAAACTGCTCCCCCTCCTGTATTCCTGACCTCCTCCAGGAGCCTGCTACGCCCTTCCTTTTTCACTTCCTGCTTCCTGTCCTGCTCAGCCTTCAACCTGGGTGGGTTGTGGGTTCTAACATCCTGAGCCACCAGGCAGACAGTACCTGACCTCCTCTCCTTCCCTTCTTTCTCTCTTACAGCATTTCTCATAGTTCAGGTCCTTGTTCTTTTGCCTGGATGTCTCTAATTGTCTTAACTGGGCTCCTTGCTTCCAGTCTTATCCTCTTTCATACTGACCCAAGAATGATCTTGCTAAATTGCAAATCTAAGCATGTTACTTCTCTGCTTGAGTTTCTCCGTTGGTTGCCTACCTACTTCAGGATAAAGTCCCAGTTCTCAAGCAACACATGCAGGGCCTTTTATCATCTGGACCTTGCTTGCCTCTTCAATCTCATCCCTGCCGATTAATTACGGGATAGACCTGCTCTTCAGCCATAGTGAATTATTTACCATGCACAGATGCACCAGGCCCTTGTGCACCTCAGTGCCTTCACACGTGCTATTTGTTATGGGGAATACCATTCACCCTCACCACCCCACTGTCTACTCTACCAAATGCCTCTTCATGGGGCTGAGGATGTGGCTCAAGTGGTAATGTGCTCGCCTGGCATGTGTGCGGCCCGGGTTTGATCCTCAGCACCACATACAAACAAAAGATGTTGTGTCCGCCTATAACTAAAAAATAAATATTAAAAAAAAAAATTCTCTCTTAAAAAAAATGCCTCTTCGTTCTCTTATCCTCAGCTTTCTTTGAATTTCTCCTAAGCTGAGTGAAGGTGTCCTCTCTTCATGATCCTACAACTTATATGATCACATTTACTGTTCTATATGTTGGGAAATCCTGTCTCCCTTTAGAATGGGCGCTCCTTGTGAGCAGGACTGTGCCTTTCTCATCTCTGAGTCCCCAAATCTTTGCACAGTATGGCACATAGCAGGCTTTCAACAAATGATTATTAAATAAACAGTAGTGGTCTCTGCAGGGAAAATATCAATGTAAAAATCAGATGCTGCTTGATATTTTGTCCCTTCCTTTATACTTGTAATCATAGACTTGAAAGGGATTTTAAATGAAGTGCTTTCAATAGTAACTCCAAAGGAAGTCATCTAGACTCATCTTGAACTGTTAACCATGAGGAGCTCAGCTACTGAACATAAGCCTATTTCATTGTTGGATCATTCAGAGGTCCTTATTATACTACTAAAGTCTGCCTTCATTTAATTTCCACCTTTTATTTCTATTCTGCCCTTAGAGAGTACATCAAGCAGGTCTATTTCCTTTTGCAAATTCTTAGGATAGCTCATCTGTTCATTCATCTTTAACCTCTGACTGACTACCTTCTATTTCCTCCAGGCAGACTACTTTAAATTTCCTTAAGTCTTCTCTACCTGATGTGATTTCTAAACCCAGTATCACTCAGGCTGCCATCTTGGATGTTTCTCTGTTTATGGGCCTATGCTGTGCATTATTTTCACGTACTCCCCATCCAACCTCGAGGAAAAGCAGTTGCCAAAACACTAAGAAAATTAGAGTATAACTTAGTAAAAGGTAAAGGGAGAATATATTTACAGCATTAAGCAATAAATGTTCCTCCTTTTCTATTCCTCCCTTAAACATTTTAAAAACATATTTGTAAAAGTATCTTAGTCATTCTGGTATTGGTCATTGAAATAATGAGTAGCATTTGGTAGTAGTTTGGGATCAGTACCAAGGTTCTCAGCCTCTAACATGCATAGAGTTCACTCATCCATACCACCAACATTCAGAATCTTGATGTTCACACCTAGGAGTCTATACTGTGAAGAAATACCCTGCCAGACATTGAGGATGGGGACTGAGGACCATGTTCCCTTCTAAGTACTCTAGTCTCATGAAGGACAAACCTGTGAGCAGTTATTTGAAGCTGCATTGTAGGCTCTCAGAGCTGTTCAGACAAAGGCCTTCCAGGAATCAGTGGGTTCAGCCTAGCTGAGTCTTGGAATCATTAAGAGAGCTTAAATATTGCTGATGCCTGCCCCACCTACTGCCCAGGAACTCCTGCTTAATTGACCTGAGAGCAGCATGGGCATCTGAGTTGTCACATGCTCCCTAAGTGATTCAGGTGTGCAAGTAGAGCTGAGAATCACAGTATTGAATGAAGAGTAATATAATAAACTGAGATGATTTTAACCATCAAGGGGATTGTGAAGCAAGGAGAGAATTAATAAAATATGACGGGATATTCTCTAGAGTGGCTGTACAACAGTCCAGTCCTACAGTACTATAATTACTGCAAGTACTCAGTATTCCAGAATATTGGAGAACTGAGTTCCTGATAGATGTTAGACAAGAGGCTACTTTCCTCATTTAAGCTTCCAAAACTTTGGTTTTGATTCTAGAATTTAGTAATTGAACCAAACATAAATCTACCTTTAGGGTTCTCCTGTTTTATATTCCCCCAAAGTGTAGTAATTTGGTCAACTACCCAGAATTTTTTAATGTAATTTTGGTAAGTTTACTTTTAAACCTCTGCCTGGAGGATCATCACATTCATCTTCCCCTCCATGCAGGTCTAGCAATTTCCAAAATGTCTGGAGAGACTTGGTGGTAAAGTAAGATGGATGGCCTGAATGAGACAATCCCACTCCATTCCTAAACACCCCCCTTTCAGGTTTTCTCCACATCTCACCCTGGTCACTCCATCAGGCCCCTCCCGAAGCCCCTGCCCCACACCCACAGGTTATCACAGCTGCCCTGCCCCACAGGCTGCCTGCTCTCATTTGCAGCTTGTGAAAGTGATTTTCTCAGCCCTCTCCTGAGATAATGTCCCGGTATAATGACTTTTAGTAGACACAGAAAGAACTCTCCAGTGTGTTTACACCCGACTCGCAGCCAGTAAGGAAGCTCATAGCCAAGTGTAAGCCACTGGGAAATAGAGGAGGCTTCAACTGGCTTTTCCCTAATCTAATCTACCTCAATGACTTAGGGCTAACTGTTTCTAGAATGTTTGGTTACCAAGATAAGGTTGCTCATATAAATAAGTTATCATTGCAAGCCCAGCTCCTCACAGAACGTGGGAAGGTCAGCAGTCTGACCCCTTTGCTCTCAAGGGTCCTGCCTTTCCTCCTCTGGTCTCTCTCCTTCCCAGAGCCTGAGCCCTCTGACTTCTGGCTCATCTTCACTTATAGGCCCTGACCTCTTTGAAGTCTGATATTGATTACAGTGAGATGTCAATTCTCTGCTTGCAATAGGGCACCTGGAACTTATTCAGATAAGCAGAGGTGTTTCTAATGCTAAGGAAGCATGTTGGGAGCCATGACCTTCTTCTAAGTAATGGTGTTTCGGGAAAGGAGGATCAGGCCATTGAAGTGTCACTCTCTCTTTTTTATTAGTTCAGTTGCTTTTTCTCACCACAGGACACTGATTGAATTATGGAGCGTTTTGGTTAAAATTTTGACCATGTATCTCTGCCCTCTAGACAGAAGTTTTGGACATTGAGATAGATGGCTGCTGCAGGTTGCCTGGTTTTCCTCACTCAGACTTAACTTTTCAGGCAATAAATTTCCCTTAAGTCTATAAGTAAAACTGCTGTTTCTCTTTGTGCATTGGTGGTTGTTTTTTTTTGTTTTTTCCAAATAGTATTAATTTTCAAACATCCCAAGGCATCCTGAGGAGCAGGACTTGCTCCTCCAAACTTTTTTTTTTTTTACTACCTCCTGATGAAAGCCAATGACTTTGATCTGTCACAAAAAGAAAGGGCTTAGTGGCTTCCTCTGCCTCTCCACATTATCTTCTTCCTTGTGGGAAATGGGGTGGGGAGAGATCTGGAGAGGTACACTAAGAAGGAAAATGGCTTAGTAATCAGGGGGGTGCCTCTCAACTAGATTGTACAAGAGAGTAAACTAGGCTTTCTAGAAAAAAGCTCCAAGGAACCTTTCTGAGTTATCGCAAGGATAGAACATTTTAGACACACAAGAGAGAAATTATTACATATACTGGAGGCAGTGGGGCTTCATTCTTTCCTAGAACCTTGTTGAAAAGGCAGGTATGGTCCAGGAAAGAAGGGACCCCTGCATCTTGCTGTGCGTGTGGGATGAGGAGGCAGCTGTAGGCATCTAGCAGGGTAAAGCCATCCTCTTGGTTTTCAGAGGCTTTACGTGTGTGTGTGTGTGTGTGTGTGTGTTTTAATTCAGATAAGGTCCAGGGCCCAGAATGATGCAAACAAACAAAAAAGGGGTCTTTATTTTGAACAAGTTTAGTAACATCATCTCCCTTCATTCTGTATCTCAAAGTGAGGCTCCCTGACACCCCCCACATTTTAGTGTGCAGAATTGTCCAGCATATAGACATTTCCTTTTATCTAACTGCACTGCTCATGCTTATATTCAGCAGTTCCTTCCCCACTCTATCACAGCTTCAGCAGTTCTAAATCTGGTTTGGGTCAAGTCTTTAGGGTATGATAACCAGCAGCAATATCACCTTGTTTATTGAGCTCCATCTTCTAACACCTGTCAGTGGTCAGTGGTTTTTCCATACCACTTTAGAACTTAGCTCCTTTTTATGGAGTCATTATAAGCAAATGCTGTGGTCTGTGGAGCCTTGGTGGTCTCTCTATATATGTGTGTATGTGTCACATACACATATATAATTATGTATATATAAAATCTTATAATGTTATATTGGTTTAATGTGATCAGTAGTCTTGCTCCACATTATCCTCTCATAACCAGGATTTTACAAACACTTTCAGAGGAAGCTTGAGCACTGGTTCCTCATTCCTGGGCCCAGTGTTCCCCACGATGCCTTCCAAATGCATTCATGGTGGCCAGTCCAGCTTAAGTGAGAAGGGGATATTGTCCATCCTGCAGGGTGAACATCCCAAGTGCCTGTGCACTCAACCAAGGATAATTTAAAGTTATCAGAAATCACTATAAATGTAACTCCCACTGGAGGAAAGAGTCGTCCTACCTTTGCTCAAGCACTGACTACAAATCCAGCCTGGCATTGATACCATTACTTCCCAGCATTCTTCTAGTCACTTTTGAACTCCACCATTAACTATTCCAACTAAAAAGAATCAGTTACTATCTTCTGGCCATACTGGTTGCTTTCTCAATTCTGTTCTGGATGTTGATTGAACATAGAGGGCCTACAGTGCTCATATATCTGTCCTTAACATCCATACCTCATCTCTATCTTTTGGCATTCCCAGCATCCATTAGAATCTATTTCACTTGCCTCACTTTACAGAGTTTTTCCTGACCCTTTCCACAGAAAGCTTCTCTCCCTCTTCTGAACCCTCCTGGTGCTTTCTCTGGCCTTCTGTCGTGATTGCTGTCATAGTCTCTTTGGTTATTCCTTTGCTCTGTTCAGATCCTAATGGCCTTCCCTCCTCTACCACTGAGCTTTGAGCCTCCTGACAGTGGTGGTTTTGTCCTAGACTCCTCTATATCTCACTCAGAACTTCAGTACTGTCCTGAGTAAATGTATTTTAGTTGATGTAAAAGATGAATTGGAGAGACTATCTTGAGTTTTCTTTTATAAATCTCACACTTGATGATCCAGCTATAATGTGTTACAGGTCCTTTAAAACAACAACACAAGAACTAGAAGGTCCTTCCTTCCTTCCTTCCTTCCTTCCTTCCTTCTTTCCTTTCTTTATTTATTTCTTCCTTCCTTTCTTTTCTTTTTTTTTTTAAAGAAGGTCTTTTCTGAGGCCAGTGAAGTTGGGACACTCATCCACTATACCTCTTTTGGAAGACCTACAACCCATAGATCATGTGCTCAGGAGAGGAGCCCATTTTAATTTCACTGAATTCATTGTCTGCTAAACTTGTGTGCCCTCAAAACCACGTTCCCCTCTGCTTATATACTTACCCCCTGCATTACACATGCATGGGAAATTTTTGTGCTAAGGATAAGGAATTAGGACAAAGGACTTCATAGTAAAAGAACAAGGTGTTAAACCCTAGAAAGTGAGTGCCTTGGCTCTGAACAGAGGGCAAGAGAACCATCCAAATATCCCTCTCCTCCTCCCTGAATAGAACAGGGCACTTCTGCCAGATGCTAGATGGTTTGTGGAATGAAGCTGATTCCTTTTTTTTTTAATTGGCACTGGGAATAAACCCAGGGCCTTATGCATGCTAAGCAAAAACTACCACTGAGCCACACCCCAATCCATCTAACCCATGAAGTGGATTTTTTACAAGAATATAACCAGAAAGGACTTATGACAAGTGAGTCTCAGGCAAAGCGGCTTGGCTTTCTTAAAAGCACATCTAATGAGCATTATTCACTACATGAAAAGCAGAAAGAAATTTTGTAACCAAATGAAAGAGTCTGCAAAGATGCATTACTCAGAACAGCCCCCTTGAACAAGGACAAGTGCTTCATAGAATAGCAGCTTGCTGCCTTCCCCAGGCTCCCATGATGCATGTCACCAAGTGGGTCATTCAGAAACAAACCTGGGCCTTGCAGGGATTTGGGATTCAACAGGATCTCAAAACAATAGACATACAGATTTGCTTTTTTTTTTTTTAATTGTCTTTTTCATTTGAAATGAGTTCTACACCCAGCTAGACAAGCAGATGGTCTAAATTGTCACTGTTTTCTAACTCCTCTGCCCACTTGCTACCCATTTGACATTCCTGTTTGATAACACCCATCATGTACATGGGCAGCTAGCAGATCCCGGACCTCAGAGCCATGGCAGCTCCCTGGGAGGGAGGCCATCAGCAGACACTTCTCCGCTTATCTACCAGTGCTGGGGCGGGGCCGGAATGCAGTTTTGACTGGCGTGTGATGTTTCCTGTAAACATGAAGATGACTGCAGCCTGTGAGCCCCCCACAATGATGAAACATCCTGAGATGCAGGCGTGGGTTGGAGAGGTTCCTTCTGTCATCTTGAACAAGCCTCCCTGACTCCTGGGTCTTTGTGTTCTTTTCAGTTCCTCAGCACTTTGTTTGCCCCCCTAAACTTTGTCATGGAGAAAGTGGAAAGCATCCTCCCATCCAGTCTGTGGCACCAGCTGACGCGGATCTGAGGGGAACCACCATCCTTCAGCCTCCTCGCCCAGCTAGCTGCCACTGGCTCTTCTGTGCCAACTCCTCGTGGACTGCAAGAAAGCATGACTTTGAAAAGGGAAGCCATTCCGAGATTTTAAAATGTTCATGGACTGTCTGTTCCATATTAAAAGCTGTTTTTGTTGTACAAAATCCATTGATGTTCAGTTCTATTTTATTTTGCCTCCAGAAAAGAAGAAAAAAGTAAAAAATAAACTTTTGTGTATTGCAGCAACCAGTTGTGTCTTCTTATATATTCCTTCCAACCCTAAAAGTGTTGGTGTTCCACATAAACCTGTGGATTGACATTAATTCCCTGGATCCCAGATCCACTGAAATGCCACCCTGTGGTTTCCTTTGCTGATGGAACTCATCTCAGCAGGCCCTTAGAATCCATCACAGCTGGTAGATTAGAAAATGAAATGGCAAAACTACTAACCCCAAATCAAATATCCTCATAGGCCATGGACACACACACACACACACACACACGAAAACCTTTCAGAATCAATGTCAGGGAGCATGAATGAAACAGAGGTATGTGCCTTCATAGGTTCTAGCTCAGAGACTCTACTTATTATACAGTACTCAACACTGCAGTTCCAGGAATCATTTTGTGTTCTCTGTTTGAAAACTAGTTGTGCAAAGGCAACTTCTGATGAGACTCAACCATCTATTGTAGACCCTGACTACCTACATTGCCAAGGTTTTCCCATAAGGACATTTCATAGTTTTTAATTGTGTTTGCATTCCTGATGCTTAATATGAGCATTCTTTGAGCATTTTAGTGATCTGAACCAAAATTATCATTTGTCCTCACCACCTTTAAAAAGCCTTCCACATGATTCATACCTTGCAGAGCATCTGGCTTTACTTAAGCAAGAGAAGAAAAATAAATAAACTGGAATCCTCTAACTGAAGTAAAAAGCACTTCTATTTAAAAATCTGAATCCAGTGCTTTAAAAAAGGACTGTCCTTTACATAGTTTGTTTTCCCTTTTATTTAGAATCCTGAACCTTCCACACTGTGTTATGGTCAATGGTGTGCAAGGGAGCTCTACCCAGGCTCTTTCCCAGCTGACCTGTGATTGGTTCCTGGTTTCTGCCCAAGAGCAGGGCAGAAATTGAGGAGCATGTGGCCTTCTGATACTTTGGTAGACTTTTCCTTTTTGAGCAAAGCCCTGATGGGAATATACAGCTTGCTTTTCCTCTCAAAGAAAATTTCCGGTAAGAGCTTGATCCCATATATACACCAGTCATATTGTTCTTGGGGGCAGCAGCCATATCTGCCTAGTTGAACTCTTGGCCTCTCCTTCCTGCACAAGCACTTGACAGAGTAGATGCTCAAATGATTGGGTGAATGAATTGGTGTAGTACATGATGGGTACTAACATTTTTATCTTTTTAGAGGAGAGAGATTGGCTGCAGCTGAAAAGGACCAGGAAGGCTTAGAATTGTAGTTTAGAGCTAGAAGAAAAAGGAATTGTTTAATATAATTTAAATATGATGTTTAATATGATTTAATAGATGAGGAAACAAGAGATTCTGGCCTGTTTAAGCCAGAATTCCAGATTGTGATCAGACCTAAGTGAAAGGTTTGAGAGCTGTAGGCTGTGGGAAGTGGCAATGGCCCAAAGCAAGTTGTTGATAGAAACCCCAAGTTACAGGAAATGCAGCAAATAAATGTAAGCCAAGGATTTAAATGTGCCTAGTGAATTTAATAATTTGGACTTGCATGGGAAGCCGAGACAGAAGTTAGACTTTAAGGGGTAGAGAGAGTGAATAGGAGGGGTGCGGGTAGAAAACAAATGCAACAGAGAGAAGACACAGAGGCGAGGGAGTGAGAGGAGGGATCACTGAAGAAGAGAAGTCCATGGACCAGAAGTGGAGCCAATCAGATGAGGAGAAAGGGGACATCTCTGAATTTGAGGGAAGCAAATTACATGAATTTATTAGACCTTCACCCCATAATCCAGATTGCTCTTCAGGTAGAGACCGTTATATCCGTTCTCCCTTCCTTCCACTACCTTTTCAACCATTCCACCCAACTCTTGAGCAAACCCACAACTCACTCACTTGCAGTGCTGGCCTCCCAGGGCCTGGATGCCATGGAGGTTGTTGTCTTCTAGTTCTGTCATGTTTTCTTGCCCCAAAGGACCAGTGTTCAAGCTGTTTTTATTTTGAAGGTTTTATATACCTCTGAAGAGACAAAGCCAGAGTAAACAAAATAACAGCAAAAGTGTAAACGATGATGTTTTTTGGTGCAAGCTCTTATGGTTTTTACACAAGGTCCAGGGTTCCCAACTTTCATGGAGGTGACAACTGGAATCCAAGTCTCCGTCTGCCTTCTGCTTCTATTTCTACATGAAAGTGTATCAAAATCTTTTCTGATGGGCTTTTCTATGAAGACTCTTCCAACAGGAAAGTAAGTGTCCTTTACTTATAACTAATATGTATTTGGTGATACAGATGCAAGCATTCTAATTTAATATAAGCAAATTGAATCTACCAGTATATATAGGAAATAATACAGTATGACCAAATGCAATGATCTATAGGTTTGTTTTCAACTTCTTTATCAGTACTTACCAGTATCAAAGTCATTACAACTTTACAATGAATCGGGGAGCCCTTTTTATTTTTATGTGGCCTTTAATAAACCTGAAATTATTATCTGATTTCCAAATTAGATAAAATTGGACATAAAACTTCTGATTTTTGCTTTGTTAATAGTAGATTTCTCTGTAACTGCTATAGTGATCAGTTTATGCAGATTTTTCACTTCTTACTTAGTTTTTCTAGGAAATTACCATTTTCTGTAGGCATTTAACTGTTACCACAGAGTAGCAGGATGTATAATTTATGTATTTAATCTATTCTGTATCTGTGGTTATTTTTCTTTTTTTCATTCCTGATTGTATTTTTGCTGTTCCCTCTTTCTCACTTTTAATTAACCTCACAAACTTTATTTTATTCTTTCAAAGAAACAAGTTTTTGATTTACCAATGCATTCAACAATTATTTTATGTGATTTATTAATTTCAGTTTTTATATATTTTTTGCGCATGCTAGTTTCTCTTATCTATAAGAAGTATAGTCTTTCTAATTTTCTTAGATGAGCTTGTGGTTTACTTTTATTTTATTCTAAAAACAGGTGTGTGTAAGGCTCTAATGTTTTCTGAGGTATTTTTAAAGAACATTTAAAAATTACCACAGATACAGAATAGATAAAATACACAAATTAGCTTTATTTTTCCATACATTTTACTATGAAGTATTCTCCTTTTCATTTTTTTTCCCTAGAAATTTAGAAATTCCTGTTTTTGTTTTTCCTAAAGGAGTGATCATATGTGAGTATTTCCTAATAATTGATTCTCTATTACTGCCTTTAAGGAATGAGTTTTTAATGTTATTGTACAAAATCTAATGGAAACATAAAAGCACAATATACCTTATTACTTCACAGCCAGAGGTCACTTCTAAGTAAACTTTTGATCCCTTTTTTTAATGTTTTTTAAAAAAACTGTATCTTAAATGTGAAAATTTAAGGGCATTGTCAAAGTGTTGAAGACATGTTTATGCTCCTTCCATGGATTCTCCTCATTTTTCTCATTGCTCATGACATGCACTTCACCAAGCTGAAACAAACCTGTATGCTGAGTCTCCCCACCCCCCAAGAGCTGAGAGCTGCAGGTGAGTGGCACCTTTAGTAAGTACTGAAAAGGAGAAGCCGTTTTGATTCTGCTTTGCAGTACTGACAGCTAGGGCTGGTTGTTCTAGGAGCTGAAATGTCTGGAGGGCTAGGGGTTGGGAGGTCTAAACCATGCTTGAAGGACCTAGTCTTGCCATTCTGGGTTTTGAGGTTTGGGATGGCTAAGGCTGAGCAGACAGAAACAGTTGAAATGAAAATGCCCAAGTAGAGGTGGAATGGACCTCTACCAGAAATGTTCTGGATAGCTGCATAGGCTTGAGGGATGATGACCTTCAGGTGACTTCAGTTATCTCCTTCAGAGTAATATCCACAACTCTCCAGCAGGACCAGAGAAGGCAGACAGGCAGCAAGTTCTCTTCCCCTCTTCTCCATCTTGTCTCCTGTCATGTTTACTCCCAGTGGGTTCCACAGGCCCTTAGGTCCCACCATGTATGTAACCCACCTTAGGAAGAAAGTTGTGGCATTATAAACCTCAACTGACTGTCATTAAAAGGCAAGCAAGCCTCAAGAGTGTGTTTTTGTCCAGGGAAGGGGCAATACAGGGGTTTTACAGAGTGTGTAAGGAAAATAATTTTTAAATGTTCTTTAAAAACACTGCTTTCTGCTCTGAGCCCCCATCCCACTAAGCCAGGGGAATTTCATCTCAGTTGTGAGCAGGGTTCTGTCCACCCCCAGACTGGATCTGCATTCAGAAGGGCCATGTCCTGGTTGCTTCTAAAAACATTGCATTGTTCAGGTTCATAGCATTTCTGATGCCCTTGGCTACCTGCTTTAGTGGTATGCACAAGCTATAGGACCTCAGTGTTCCCCTGGGACCAGGTTCCCCCTATGTGTTTCCTGACACCCCCTTCTGAGGTCTGGGTGCTGCCTTTCAGCTTCTGATGTCTTCCCCACAGACACATAGGACATCTCTACAGGCCCCTCCAACTACAAACTCTTTCAGGCTGTTTCTGCCTGATGACTTTCAGGAACAAAACATTGCAAACTCTGGGCTCCTCCTTGAAATGGCAAAAGGAAAAATGCAAGAACAAACATGAATTAACATCTCTAAAATATTTGCTCTACAAATCAGATAAACTCCTTCACATTCAGTGCAAATTAGATTCATTTGTCCACTCATTCCTTCACTAAAATTATCGAGGACCTCCTATGTGCAAAAAATATCATCATGCCTTTCCAATTGCACCTTGAATGGCAGTACTTTTCATGATGCTTACTTTGTATATTCACCTGTCTGTCTCCTCCACTGAACCACAAGGAATTTGATTTCCACGGTATGATATTCTGAGGGTACTAGATACTCATAACATAGCTCACTCCTGGGACCAAGTCAAATGAGGATTTTTCCCTACCAGCAAGCAATTTTACATTGAGCATCAGCTGGGCATTCTCTACTCTAATCCAATTGTGGTGTTTGTATCTGGAGATAGTGGCAGATTTTGCAGGTTGAGGCCTTAGTCCCAAAGACTGCCCTCACTTCAGACACCAATCAAAAGCCTGGGACTACGGAACTGCTGACCTCCC